TCATTGGGCCACCCTGTCGATTGGTACCAGGCTTCCGAAAACCACGAATTTATTTACGGGCGCAGCCCGTAATTTGATTCTCGCGAGGTAGACACTGACAGACTGAACTGAACCACCAGGCCGTTAGATGGCAGTTTTATTTCCGCGGGTGAGGATATTTCGGGTGGCAGTTTTAAGCCAGCTGGTGAGCATATTTCGGTGGCAGTTTTAAGCCAGCGGGTGAGGATATTTCGGTGACAGTTTTAAGCGCCAGCGGGTGAGGATGTTTCGGTGGCAGTTTTAAGCCAGCGGGTGAGGATATCTCGGGTGAGAATATTTCGGTGGCAGTTTTACGCCAGCGGGTGAGGATATTTCGGGTGGCAGGTTTAAGCCAGCGGGTGAGGATATCTCGCGTGGCAGTTTTAAGCCAGCGGGTGAAGATATTTCGGATGAGGATATTTCGGGTGGCTGTTTTAAGCCAGCGGGTGAGGATATTTCGGGTGGCAGGTTTAAGCCAGCGGGTGAGGATATCTCGGGTGGCAGTTTTAAGCCAGCGGGTGAGGATATCTCGGGTGGCAGTTTTAAGCCAGCGGGTGAGAATATTTGGGTGGCAGTTTTAAGCCAGCGGGTGAGGATATTTCGGGTGGCAGTTTTAAGCCAGCTGGTGAGCATATTTCGGTGGCAGTTTTAAGCCAGCGGGTGAGGATATTTCGGTGGCAGTTTTAAGCGCCAGCGGGTGAGGATGTTTCGGTGGCAGTTTTAAGCCAGCGGGTGAGGATATCTCGGGTGAGGATATTTCGGTGGCAGTTTTACGCCAGCGGGTGAGGATATTTCGGGTGGCAGGTTTAAGCCAGCGGGTGAGAATATCTCGCGTGACAGTTTTAAGCCAGCGGGTGAAGATATTTCGGATGAGGATATTTCGGGTGGCTGTTTTAATCCAGCGGGTGAGGATATTTCGGGTGGCAGGTTTAAGCCAGCGGGTGAGGATATCTCGGGTGGCAGTTTTAAGCCAGCGGGTGAGGATATCTCGGGTGGCAGTTTTAAGCCAGCGGGTGAGAGTATTTGGGTGGCAGTTTTAAGCCAGCGGGTGGGGATATTTCGGGTGGCAGTTTTAAGCCAGCTGGTGAGCATATTTCGGTGGCAGTTTTAAGCCAGCGGGTGAGGATATTTCGGTGGCAGTTTTAAGCGCCAGCGGGTGAGGATGTTTCGGTGGCAGTTTTAAGCCAGCGGGTGAGGATATCTCGGGTGAGGATATTTCGGTGGCAGTTTTACGCCAGCGGGTGAGGATATTTCGGGTGGCAGGTTTAAGCCAGCGGGTGAGGATATCTCGCGTGGCAGTTTTAAGCCAGCGGGTGAAGATATTTCGGATGAGGATATTTCGGGTGGCAGTTTTAAGCCAGCGGGTGAGGATATTTCGGGTGGCAGGTTTAAGCAAGCGGGTGAGGATATCTCGGGCGGACGAGGCAAGAGGCGGCGGGAGGAGGATTTCATTGAAAATGGACGACGGGGGGGGGAGATCAGCTCGAGGGCGGAGGACGCGGACGGGATGAGGAGGCGGCAGAAGGGAGGAGGAGGTGGAAGTGGAGGAGTCGAAGGAGGAGGAGGAGGTGGAAGAGGAGGAGAAGGAGGAAGAGGAGGGAGGAACCGAGAAGAGCTCTGTGCTCGGCGCGGGCATCCAGCCGCCACGCGATGCATCATCTGTATGGTCGGCCCAGCCGACGGCTACGCCTCCAGCGAGGTGCTGCGCCCGTATATATGCTCGCCCCTTGGCGTGGGGCTGGCGGGGGGCCAAGGGGCGAGCTGTCCGGTGATTTGTTGAGGGCTTGGGGCGCCTTCCCGAGATTAGAAGATACCAAGCTCCACGGGCAACAGGAAAACCTTTGAGGCTGCAACCCGCGCACTTGCCACAGCCGCTGCAAGCTTAGGATGAAGCTGTCGTCACCCAACCTGCCACGAGCATGCCACGCAGCAGCATGGCCTGGGCTCCTCTCCCTGGCTTGATCACTGGGGGGGGAACTCGCGGCGGGTGCAACTCGGTTGGCAGAGCATGGCAGAGCCAACAATTTGTTGCCAACAGTCGCCTGTGTCCGACATGAGAACGGCGAAGGGCCACCCTCGAGCGGCGGGAAAGCGGGCGGGGGGGGGCACCGCAGCCCCAAATCCCGCAGGCCCGCCACCAGGCTTAGCTCCACGCCGCCACGAGTTCGAGTCTGCAGCTGCACCGACCTGCGGACTCGAACTCAGCCTCGGCGCCTCGAGGCCTCTGCCTCCGACCCCAGGGGCAACAGTTGGCCGCAGAGCCAACGCATGCGGGAAAGAAGCAAAAAAAACATCATGCGCTTGCGTCGCTAACTCCGCTGCAGAGGGTCGAAGGGGGGACCGGAGGTGGCAATCTCAACAACTCTATCAGCGGCACCGTTGCCAGCGGGGCGCCACCAGCTCTTCCATGATGGGCCTGTTTTCCCACCACCACCACCATAAGTTGGAGGGGAGGAGGGGGAGGAGGAGGAGGAGGAGGAGGAGGAGGAGGAGGAGGACGAAGAGGAGGAGGAGGAGGAGGAGGAGGAGGAGGAGGACGAAGAGGCGAGGAGGAGGAGGAGGAGAAGGAGGAGGAGCAGGAGGAGGAGGAGGAGGAGGAGGAGGGCCCCCTGCCCCTTCCAACTTATGGTGGTGGTGGGGGAAGACAGGCCCAGCTCTTCCAGCCCCGAGGAGTTCTGATATGAGCTCCATGCGGCAGTGTCAAGAGGCCTCCGCCCATGGATTGGGACCTTCCCACATCGCCCGGAACCGCCGCTCTGGACCCCTGCCCTGCAGGCCCTTCCTGCGCTTGGGAGGGCTCGGCAAAGGAGCGACGTCGAACAGCCGCGAGAAATCATCGGCGTGCATCCTTCGGGGGCGCGCAAGCCTGGATTAGCGATCCATGGATTTGGCGCGCGGTCGCCAAATCCATGGACCGGGGGAGGTGCCCCCCCATAATGCAGCCGGTGCCGCCTCGTCGGCGGCGGCAATCCGCAATTGCCCATGGAAACGAGACCCGTCGCTAATCCACGCCCCCTTGATGCATGTTTGCGATTGCCTGAGTTGGGTGGCCGCCAGGAAGTGTCCCCTGCACGAGCATCGAGCTCGATCTTCCCCCTCCACCTCCCTCCCTCCTCATCATCCCTCCTCTTCCTCCTCCACCTCCTCCTCCTCCTAGCTCCTCCCCCCTCCTCCTCCTCCTCCTCCTCCTCCTCCTCCTCCTCCTCCTCCTCCTCCTCCTCCTCCTCCTCCTTATCCCTCGTCCTCCTCCTCGTTCTCCTTCCTCCCTCATCCCTCCTCCTGGGAGGAGGAGCCGTGGCTCTACTTGGGAGGGCAGGAGGGGAGAGCGTCCACGACCAGCGTGAGGGACAGCATCAGCGGCGGTTCTTCAGCATGCGGATGGGGGCGGAGGGCTCGCACGCGGGGGATCTCGCACAGCGCAACGGGGCCGAAGGACGAGGTCGAGGAAGACGAGGAGGAGAAGAAGGAATACGGTCAACCTGTATAATAAGGACGCACGATAAGGATGCAAGGGCCTTGAAAGGCCATATCGACACTTTGCGAGCGGGGCGCGACCAGCGAAAGCGGCTAAGGATGGGCAGCAGGGGAAGAATGCAATCGTAACCTTGGAAAGTCGCGCATCCTTACTCTGGAGTCCCGAAACGGTGCGGTGACAGACCGTGCGGTGACCTCAAAATCCCGCAAGACCTCACCACACGGTCCGTCAACGCACGGGTTTGGGACCTCGGATGCCCCGGTCGCCCGAGACGTCCTCGGAGAACAGCCCGAGTCCCAAAACCGTGCGGTGACCCCGAATCCCCACCGACTCACCACACGGTGTGGTCACCACCCCGCTTGGGGACCCCAGGCTTACTGTGCGGGTTGACTGTAGGAGACGGAGGAGGGTCGGATCAGCCAGAGTCAGCTCGCGAATGCGGATCGGATCGGAACGAGCATCGGATCGGATCGGGCCGCATCGCCCCAGGGCCGAGAGTGGATCAGATCGAGCGCACCCAGAGTGCACGACTGTGCTGAAGATTATGACCGGTAGGGATGGGGAAATCGGGAGGGGCAAAACGATGATGGCGCGACAGGTACGGGTGCGAGTGGTCGGACCCTGAAGGGGACTCCCTCCTCCTCCGCCTCCTCCTCCTCCTCCTCCTCCTCCTCCTCCTCCCCTTCCCCCCCATGAAAATTCCAATCGGCTGAAACTACAGCCCCCAGGAATCCCAACCCGAGAGATCAGGGGGGGCGCACGGGTGCGGCTGCTGGTTGACAACTCACGAACGCAAGCACCGGGACACGTCGGAGTGTCCGAAAATCGAAAGTCGATCAGGTCGAGCTGGGCAAACTCGACACCGACTCGGCTCAAATGGGAATGGGCCATGCGAGGGGGATCGGATCGGATGGGGCCATCATCGGCGCGAGGCTCCAGGCCTGAGGACAAGTGCGGTGAACCTGCCTGTCTCGACCACGCGTTCCCGTCCACACCCTCACGTCGTTGTCACCCAGGGGGGCGAGGCAGGAAGCCAAAAGTTGAGTCGATAAGTTGGATCGGCGATCGACAAGAATCGGATCGGTGGAAATCGGCAGCCAAGTCGGAAGAAGTGACATCGGCGCAAATCGGGAGGCTAATCAAGCTTCCACTGAGAAACCGCAATCCGAGTCGGAGTCCGAAGTCGAACCGAATCGGAATCAGAACCGATCGACCTTTTGGAATAGCACCGTATCGGAGGAGTCTACAATGAGCCCTGGGAAGGAAGGAGAAGGGCAGGGAGGGGGAAGTTCAGCACCAGTGGAGAGGCGAGAGTTGGAGGCCTGGGAATGGGCACCAACACAAACACAGGGGGTTGCCTCCAACAGGGGGAAGATGATCCTAGAGTTCGGTGTTGGTGGTAACACTTCGGCCACCTTGGGAGCCAGAATCTTACCACCATCACCGAGATCGGCATCGTCTTCCCTCCGTGGAGGCACACCGCCGATCTTGGTGCTGGTGTCGACCTCTGGGCCTGCGACAGAGCCAGGGCGCAGGAGGCTCGGCAGGCCAGTCGGGTCGGGCGAAAGGGGGGGATAGCAAAGGGGGGGTTTGAGAATCAGCTCACGTAGCTGATTTTCCCCGGCGCCTCCCGGCGCCGGAGGCGGCTATGTATCGAGGAATGGGCCCCTCGGTGAAGCCGAAACCAGCTGCACACAGCAAATTTCGTAACCCCCCTTTCCCAATCCCCCCCTTTCGCCCGGCCCGAGCCAGGCGAGGCCGCGCGGGGAGAGGCAGCCCCAGGGCAGCAGCGCCCCACCGAGCCGAGCGCGGGGCACTGGATCTCCACGGAGCCGTGCGCCATCGCGCAGGCGCTGGCCTTCCCGTGGCCCGCCCCGCCCCCGGCTCCTCCGGGGGCGCCGCCAGGCATGGACCTGCCCCGAGGGGGGGCGAGGGGGGGCCTGCCCCGAGGAAGGGCCTCGTGTGCGCTCGCGGCGCCCCGAGGCGGCGCGCGGGAGGGAGGGGGGGGGAGGGAGTGGGGGGAGGAGGGAGGGGGGGGGGGGGGGGAGGGGGGGGAGGGAGGGAGGGGAAGGGAGGGGGGGGAGGGGGGGAGGGGGTGAGGGGAAGGAGGAGGAGGGGAGGAGGCTGCCTCTTGGAAGGCGCGGCCTCACATCTGCAGACAAGGCCCGCGCCTTCTGAGAAGCAGCCTCAACTTCTGAGAGGCCTTTGCCCTCTCCCCCCTGCCCCCCCCCTCCCGCGCGTGGCCGACGCTGCTTGGTTCCCCCCACCTCGCCCGACTCTAACGCCTCGGGGTTCCCCATCGCCCGGGCTGGCCGTGGCCTGCTCCTCGACGGAGCCGACCGAGATGCGGGCCGACTGCGGCAAAGCCGACCGACTCGAGTCGCGGACTGCCTTGAATCCATTGTATCGACGGTCTCTCGAGGGGTATCGAAGCCAGTGGACGCCAGGACGACGACGACGACGAGGACGACGAGGACGACAACGACGAGGACGAGGACGAGGACGAGGACGAGGGCGTCAAGGACGAGAACGAGGACACGGACGGGGACGGAAACGAGGAAGGAGACGAGGACGACGACCACGAGGACGACGATGACGACGACGACGAGGACGAGGACGAAGAAAAGGGAGTCGAGGACGAGAACGAGGACAAGGACGAGGACGGAGACGGGCACGGAGACGATGACGACGACCACGACGACGACGGCGAGGACGAAGACAACGACCACGACGACGACGATGCCCACGACGAGGACGACAACAAAGACGACAACAAGGACGACAACAAAGACGCCGACGGCGACGACGACGACGAAGACAACGACGACCCCGACGACGACAACGACGACCCCGACGACGACAACGACAACGACGACAACAACGGCGGCGGCGGCTGCGACGGCGGCGGCGGCGGGGGCGGCGGCAGTTGCGGCGGGGGCGGCGACAGTTGCGGCGGCGGCGGCAAGGACGAGGTCGAGGGGTGGGCGGCGGCCACAGGCTGGCAGATATTCGTGCTCCGCCAGCCACATCACGCGCTCCCGGCAACTCGCCCGCTGGCCAGCCACCTCGCACGTCGTGTCGCAGCCCTGTCTCGGGGGGCTGCCCGTCTGAGAGGGCGGAGGAGAGCCAACCGTACAGATGCCCACGTCGTAAAGGTATGGCCCGGCCTGCCTCCTTCTGGCCCTGCCTGCCCCCTCCGCTATTTTCCGCTATTTGACGCGCCGTAAGGGTCACAGCCCTGAAGCGCAGCGCGGCGGCCGTCGGCCGCCGACAGAGGGGGGGTGAGGGAGGCCCGTTTCAATCCTGGACAGCGAAGGCCTGGAGGAAAGGGGAGGGAAAAAGACGGGCCCGTTGGGCCCAACACCGGTCGGCGAAGGGCCCGAGGGGGCGAGGGCCCGCGGGGCCCTGGCCTTTGGCTCGGCGAGGGCCCACCCGCCTCGGTGGGACCTAGCTGAGCTCGTCCGCGTGGTCGGGGGCGGCGGGGCCCTCAGGTCGCGTCGAGGGCGGCGACCCCGCCCGCCCCTGGCCTCCGTGATGCGCTCCCTCTGGTCCAGCGCGAGGTGCTCCGCGTCGCGCGTGCGCCCGCGGTGTGCACCTGCCGGTCCAGCGCCTGGAGCTCTGCGTTGCCGCGAGTCTGCGGGGCTCCGCGCCTGGCCTCCCAGCTGTACGCCAGCTGGCCAAGCGCGCGGAGCTCAGCGTTGCCGCCGGCCTCCATGATGCGCTCCCTCTGGCCCAGCGCGAGGTGCTCCGCGTCGCCGTTCGTCGCCGGGTGCACCTGCTGGTCCAGCGCCAGGAGCTCTGTGTTGCCGCCGGTCTGCGGGAGCTTCAGCGCTTGGCCTCCCAGCTGTGCGCCAGCTGGCCCAGCGCGCAGAGCTCCGCGTTGCCGTCGGCCTCCATCGCCTGGCCCCCAGCGCGAGGAGCTCCATGGTGCCGTCGGCCTCCGCGATGGCCCCCAGCGCGAGGAGCTCCGCGATGCCGTCGGCTTCCGCATTTTCTCCTTCTGGCCCAGCGCGAGGCGCTCCGCGTCGCGGTCGGCCTCCTCGATGTGCCAGTGAGCCTGCCTCGTTGCTGGTGGGCTCTTCGTCTTGTCACAGTCACCTTGGTCATGAACTGGTTGACTGCGTTGGGCTCTTCTCCTGGTACGGGTCTCAGCCGATGAAGTAGTTGTCGTGCTGGTTAAGGTCGATGGGGGTCGGCTTGTTGCTGGTAGGTGGAATAGATTGCGGGCGCACTCTGGCCTCCATGCACCGACTTCAAGCAGGGTTCATGGCGGCCCTGCCTCGTCCCGCTATGGCTAGGGGTCACGGTGCCCTCGGTGGGGGCGAACCCCAGGCCAGGTGATTCTTCTGCTGTCGATGAGGAAGGTCAACGCTGCCCTATGCTACGCCCTTGGGCGCTCGGGAGCTCCGTCTCCGCCATGGGAATGGTGGGGGTGGCGAGCTAGGGCGGACCGCGGGGGCGCGGGCAGTACTCGTCCTGCCCCCCCCCTGCCCCTCACCATCCCCCCTGGTGGGCGCGGGCAGTCCTCGTCCTGCCCCCCCGCCCTTCGAGCCCGTCTCGAAGTTTGATCCTTGCCTCACCAGGGCAACGTTGACTGGTACTTGGTGCAGTTGGGGTCATCGGCTGGTACTTCTGAGCCCTGGCTGTACGGCGGCCGTGTCCGTCACTATGCAAAACGTGGCGACGTGAGCCTGGGGTGTTCCCTCGCATTCGGGGCTTCCCCAGGTCTTGCGTCCTGACAACTTGTGCAAAACTTGGCGACGTAGCCTGAGGTGTTCCCACGCATTCGGGGCTTCCTCAGGACTTGCGTTCTGATTCTTTTGTACATGTCGTCAAGGCGCTTCGTCACGATCCTCGTTGTCAGCCTGTGCCCGAACAGCTCCTGTCGAGGTGGTGGCCCTGCCGATTGCCTTGTCGGGTCGGTCCTGCCGGGCCCACTCCCTTGCCTCTTCCAGCCAGGTCGGTGAGCCGTTCCGCCTGCTGCCTCGATAGTAGTCCTGACCCATCTCCCTGGTCTTGTAGTGGTCGAGCGGCTGGAAGAAGTGGGCCACGTCGTCGTCGATGTGCCACCCCTGGACGTCGTTGGGCGACTCGCCAAAGCGCCACCTGATCTGCTTCACCAGTGCGGTCGCGATGGCCTGGCACATCCTGTTCGGGTACTCCTTGGCCGGCGCGGTGCGCCACTGGCCTTCATCGTTGATGCCTGCCAGCTCCGCATGGTAGGAGGCCGTGTGAAAGCACCTTCCACTTCCAGGCAGTCTCCTGATTTCTGCTCGGAGGGTTGGTAGGGATACCGCCATCAGGCTTGTGGATTTCCTCGAGCGCGCTCCACAGGTGCACTGGTCGAAGGTGATCAGCTCGACTCCCTGCTGGTTCAGGAGATGGCGCATCTCGGGAAGCTTCCAGGAGCTGGCGAAGTGCTCCTCGATGGGCTCAGACGGGTGCTCGAGCATGCCTGGGACTCCCAAATTGAGGCACATGTACATAAGTTCCAGCTGTGTCCTGTATAGGCGGTTGCCTGTCGCTACTTGCTCCATCTCTGGGCGGGAAAGGTAGCGAAAGCCCCACAGGCTATTGCCGCCCCTTAGGGGTCTTGGTGGCCGACCCCTGCAGCCATTGGGGGGCAAGTGGCGCGCTCGGCTCCAGGTCTCGCACGGCGGTCCGCCGATGACTCCTGCAATTCTTCCTGCTTGTGCCATGTCTCGCCACTTGCTGACTGCGACCTCAGATGTCAGGTCGCCGAAGGTCGGGTCGTTGGCGATGTCCAGGCTGAGCATGTGTATGTCGCAAGCAGCCCGACTGCTGAGGCGGTCAAACCAGTCCTGAACATCTCCGTCTCGGCGACGGCCGCTGAATAGATGCAGCACATATAACGTCCGAGCTGGTCTGGGCCTCGGTACAGCGGCTGGCGGCGGTGGCTGCTCCTCAATGAAGGGCAGCTCAAGGCTCTCGTAGTGGCCGCCGTTGCTGTCGTCGCTGTCCTCGTCCGTATGTATTTCTGGAGGGCGAGCAGGGACTGCAGGCTTCTCTGCCCAGTCGATAGGCCTGCCCGCCCTTCGGTTCGCCTGCTGCTGGTCGCGGACAATTTGCTGGTTGTGCTGCAGCTCGGCTCTACTTAGGATTGCTGGGCGCGTCTTTCTCCAGTGTCGAGCGCACTTGCGCACTTTCAGCAAGTGTTTGACCAGCCTGTTTGTAGTATGATAATCCATGCCGCATCCGTAGCAGACCGAACCAGTTGCCCACGAAATAGGATGACCCGACGAGGTGTGGTCCTTGGTGATGTGTGCTCGTAGCACTGCTGCGCTGGCTTCAGTACGTCCACAGTGGTAGCATAAGTACTTGCGCTGATGCTCGAAATGCTGGTCTGGGAAGGACGAGATGGCTTCCGTGTTGGTCCACCGTTGGAGTCGAAGCTTCCATCGAGCATGGTGGTCGTGGTCGTACTGGCGAGCTTTGCCACGTTGGCAAGCTTTCTTTACTGCGCTGAGGTAGCTTTGGTAGTCGTTCCTGGCCCAGTCCTTCCAGTCCTCGAGCGTGTATGCTCCACCACGCTCGTCAGGTCCTGTGTGGTCGCGGACCCAATCCAGGTCTCGGCGGAGCAGTGCCACCCAGCCGTAGCTACCGTCCCATGCTTGGCTAAGTAGCCGGCGGAGGTGCAGGGGTCCCCAGTTGAGGCATCTGCCAAATAGCCGTAACCTCTCAAGTCGCAGGACTATCTCTGGGGGCAGCTTGTCGACTCCTTCGAGGATCTGGGTGTTCGTTACTTCCTTTTTCTGTCGTACTTTCCAAGTGATCCTCTGCGCCGCAGCGTAGTTGACGATGTACTGGTTGTTGAAATTCCTGGCCTGGCCTGCGGTGAGTTCGGGCCAGGTAGACGCATTGTATAATAGCTGGGATAGCACCACGCTGTCGGCTAAATAGGCCTTGTCTTTGATTGCCAGCTCTGATCGCCTGTGGACTTCGCGATGGAGAGGCCTCGTGGATGTCGCTGCAGTGGCTACCTTCACTGCGACATCCACCCCAGGGGATGCATTGTCGGTCACGTAGGTCCCGAGGAGCTTGTGGTGACGAACCACCTCGACGTAACTCCCTGCGAGGGGGACCTCGATCCTCGGCACTCCCTCGGAGTAGAAACTGGCCCGCGCTTGCCGGCTCCCAGGCCCACTGAAGTCAATCATCACCTTGGTCTTGGTGAGTTGCAGCTGGAGGCCGAAGGTGCTGGCGGCGCAGTAGACGGCTTCGCAGAACTCGGTGGCCTCATGCTGAATGTGGTCGGGGCTGGTGAACACGTGCATGCCCGTTAGGTCATCGACAAACGATAGGCCATGTGGTTCTTGCTCCTGGAGTGGCCCATCTGTGGGGTCGTTGTCGCATGCGAAGCTGCTGTCAAGAGGCTTGCCCTGAGGTCGTAGTCCTCGCTGCGCCAGGTAGTTGTCAATCATGCGGTGGACTCGGCCGAATAGCAGATTGAAGTCCGCGTCGGCCAGGGGCACGCCAGGCCTCGTGCCCTTGTGCGGTGCCATAAGGTTCTGGGAAAACCTGTGTGATGTCCACCTGTTGCGATATCCTTCTGCAATGAGGGCAGCCAGGTGGGAGCCGTCCAACACTGTGTCGAGTATCCCTGGGTTGGCCATGAGGTGCTCCAGCTGCGGCTGGGCCCACAGGGGAACCTCGAGGTTCTCTAGCACCTCCTGGACTTCGTCCTCTTCACCTGGGATACCATGCACCAGTTGGACTACAACCGAGTAGAAGGCCTCCTTTAAGTCGTAGCAGCTTATCATGGAGCACTTCCCTTGGGCCTGACTTCTCTCGGTGAAGAGGCGTGCTGCAAGGACCGCCATGTCCGCCCCTCGCTTGGGCCGGCCGCCAACCGGGATGTCCTCCAGCGCTATGGCGAGGGTGGTGTTGAGCATGGTCCTTAGGTATTTGTGGTGGTGCTTGCCCAGAACGTTGTTCAAGAGGATCTCGCGGTAGGCTTGGAGGTACCTTGGGTCGCCTTTTCCTTTGGGAATTGCGACCAGGTCTCCACCCTTGAAGCTCAGCGGCTCTCGCACGGTGGTCGCCACCTTGGTGAAGAGGGGGCGCA